TCAAGATAGTACGTACGGTTTGTAAAAGAAAAACTACGTCAAGCCCATGTTACTTTTACTAATTACCCCAACATGAAAAAAGGACAATACTAGCGCTCACCCAAACTCTAACTATTAAAAATGGTTACTTATAATAATTGAATTTTACAAGTCTATATTAGCGTACGTACTATCAAAATTTAGTATAATTTTCGTATGTCCGTCCGAATTTGCATTAGCGTACAGTACTACTTTACTGAATACCTCACATACATACATATCTGATATGTACATACATATGTATATACGTACGTACTGTACGTACAAATTTACTTAAATTTTTTTCAATAGTTTAACAATTCTGGCCAGCACTACGAAACAGTGATTAAAGAGTCCCAAGTCTCCTTGAGATGCACAAGTATTTCAAATAATATTAGAGAACTATAAAGTAATATCACTTTTTAGTTAATATGTATTTCAATATTTAAAATTACTAATAAAATGAATTTTTTTTTTAAAAAAAAAGTACGCAAGAGTGCGTCTTTTAATAAATAAATTTTATAAAATTTACGATCATAGCTACATAATTATTCATTACATTATTTTCACAGTACAAATATAGACATTAACACTAATCGAGGCCTGATTAAAGTGTTAAGATATATTTACATTATTGTTCTTGATCTAACATTAGTCCACAATAATTATAATATTACTTGCGAACAGTTAAATTTTGTAACACAAAGATTATAAATGAAATGAAACATATTAATAGTTATAATAATAATTTCTAGTTAACATTGCACGAAAAAGGTAACCATTTTACTTTAGGTCGAAGTTGCAGGTGGTGGTAACGGAACGGTTGATGTAACAGTTGTTGTAATGGTCGTTGTAAGGGTTGTGCCTGGAGCTGTAGTATCTGTCGCTGCCGGAGCATCTGTTGGATTCGCCGGTGGATTATTGGCTGGTGGATTATTGGCCGGTGGATTATTAGCCGGTGGATTATTTGCCGGTGGATTATTTGCCGGTGGATTATTGGCCGGTGGATTGGGATTGGCCGCCGGTGGATTATTGGCCGGAGGGTTAATAACGTTTCCGTCGTTGTTAACATTAATTGGAGCAGGAAATGTTGACGTGCCACCCTGACGTTTTTTTACTTGATTTTTGTCAACCATCGACTACAAGATACAATCCGGAAAAATAACCTATATCCGAAAGTCTTCTTGGTAATACTTCGTCATTAATATTAATTGGAGCAGGATTTCCAGGGTTACGTTTATCATGTTTAGCGTCATGTCCATAAAGTAAATATTTAGGGACCATGTCTTTATAAATGTCTTTGCCGCTACAAGTTTGGTGTTTGATTCCTTTGCCGTCACAGCTCCATGTCAAATCTGTAATTTTAGTAATCCAGTTTTTGACTCCCCATTCACCAATATGTTCTCTACAATCGTCGCCACTTTTACCGTTCCTTTTTCTCCAAACTGGTCCACCAGGAGCTGCATCGCATGCAGTACCCTTAAAATATTTTATTTCAATGGTATCTGAAATGTTGTAGATCACATCTCCACAAGCATTTTTTATAGTCCACACATAGCTCCAATCTTTTTCATCATGGAATCCAGATTGGTAGGCCCCTTGGACCCAGGTATTCCCATCAGTATCTTGATATAGAGTCATCTGTCCTATGGCACTGTTTTCATGAGTTGCAGATATAAAGACGGGAGCACAAGTTTTGGGATTTCTCTTGAAATATTCAGGATGAACATAAGCCTCCGAGAAGGAGAGCATTAATACAATAAAGGTCAATAAAAGGTTAAACATTTTCAATTGCATTGATTAATTAATTAGAAATGAACAAATGGACATTAAATATTTAACAGATATATTCTGATTAAGAACCAGGTATCAGAGATAGCTGTTAAAGAAATCAAAAACTCAGAGAGACGATGTCTTTATATACATAATTTCAGGTATAATTTTTTTTAAAGAAATTCCGATGGAAGAATAACATTACACTTTTCTGATAGAATACATTTAACATAAGGAAAGCGTTACAAAGTAATCAATGCAATCAATGTAATCAAAAATCATCAATGAAAATACTAAAATTATAAAATCATTTAGAAGAATAATTTAAATTTAAAAATATACAAAAACACAAAGGTTCGTTCATGTAGATTAACAATGATAACAAGGCTGATTCGGAAACGTTGTTCTAAAAACGGTTGAGTGAAGGTTATATGTGACGGTTGTACTTGACGGTTGTACGTGACGTAATGGGAAGGTTGGTATTTCAATTCTTTTTTTTTTTACAAAATAAACAACCTTTTGGTGATACATTCTTATATTGTTTATTTATTTATATTACTTCTATATAAGTTTATTTATCTTGCTTTTATATAAGTTTATTTATATTGCTTCTATATTAGTATATATACCATAATAACAATTTAAGAAATTTAATTAAAAAACAAATTTATACTAATGAATTACACGCTTTATGTGCTTATGTATATAAGTAAATAATTGCAATACTTGCAATAGTAAACAGTATTTAAATAGTAAATACCCGACATTGTACAGTAACCAGGACTAATGCGGTGCATCGACGTTCAAATTCTTTACTTCTCGTTCTAAAATTAAAGTGGTTATGTATTTCTTAGATATTATTTAATACAATAACAAAGAAATGAATAGTCAATTGAACTAAACCCCTTTTAGTTATTGCAGCGATGCGATTTGTAATGATTGATTATCGTTACTTTTTGACTTTCGTGATTTTCGGATTAGCAACTCCTGAACTTTAGCGATCCTTTGGTATATTTACTTTTGTTTGTGAAGGCGCGAAAGTCTTTTAGTTCAATGATACAATGAAATTTTAACAATATAATGAATTGTTCAAATTGTTCGTCCATATGATATAATATGATATAATATAATAAAATATAATAAGATATAATTGGAGTATATAACTAGAGGCATTAGGTTTTGCGGTCGAGAGCGAAAAGACATCTACGTATTAACCTCTTTTAGACCTCCGTTTCTTTTTTTTTCTCGGCTGTTGCTCACAATAAGAAAAGAAATTAGTACAAATATGGAAATTTTAAAAGAAAGAAAATAATAAACAAAAAAAAAATAATAAAAAATATTTGATTTTCAAGTCGAAAAACAAAACCCCTTACTTCATTGTGTAACTGGTAGGAGAGATTTTAAGATTATCATGGTTCGTCAATTTTAATTTGTAAATTGAACAAATTGAACAATGTCGTTGTAAATTGAAAATCATGAGGATATTTGTGTATATG